GGTCTGTAATTTTTATCATAGGTACACTTCAACTGTGAGAGACGGAATCTAAAACAAAAATCCAGAAAATCACATTGTATGATTTTTAAGTAATTAATTTGCATTTTATTGCATGACATAAGTATTTGATACATCAGAAAAGCAGAACTTAATATTTGGTACAGAAACCTTTGTTTGCAATTACAGAGGTCATACGTTTCCTGTAGGTCTTGACCAGGTTTGCACACACTGCAGCAGGGATTTTGGCCCACTCCTCCATACAGACCTTCTCCAGATCCTTCAGGTTTCGGGGCTGTCGCTGGGCAATACGGACTTTCAGCTCCCTCCAAAGATGTTCTATTGGGTTCAAGTCTGGAGACTGGCTAGGCCACTCCAGGACCTTGAGATGCTTCTTACGGAGCCACTCCTTAGTTGCCCTGGCTGTGTGTTTTTCGGGTCGTTGTCATGCTGGAAGACCCAGCCACGACCCATCTTCAATGCTCTTACTGAGGGAAGGAGGTTGTTGGCCAAGATCTCGCGATACATGGCCCCCTCCATCCTCCCCTCAATACGGTGCAGTCGTCCTGTCCCCTTTGCAGAAAAGCATCCCCAAAGAATGATGTTTCCACATCCATTCTTCACGGTTAGGATGGTGTTCTTGGGGTTGTACTCATCCTTCTTCTTCCTCCATACATGGCGAGTGGAGTTTAGACCAAAAAACTATACTTTTGTCTCATCAGACCACATGACCTTCTCCCATTCCTCCTCTGGATCATCCAGATGGTCATTGGCAAACTTCAGATGGGCCTGGACATGCGCTGGCTTGAGCAGGGGGACCTTGCGTGCGCTGCAGGATTTTAATCCATGACGGCGTAGTGTGTTACTAATGGTTTTCTTTGAGACTGTGGTCCCAGCTCTCTTCAGGTCATTGACCAGGTCCTGCCGTGTAGTTCTGGGCTGATCCCTCACCTTCCTCATGATGCCCCATGAGGTGAGATCTTGCATGGAGCCCCAGACCAAGGGTGATTGACCGTCATCTTGAACTTCTTCAATTTTCTAATAATTGCGCCAACAGTTGTTGCCTTCTCACCAAGCTGCTTGCCTATTGTCCTGTAGCCCATCCCAGCCTTGTGCAGGTCTACAATTTTATCCCTGATGTCCTTACACAGCTTTCTGGTCTTTGGCCATTGTGGAGAGGTTGGAGTCTGTTTGATTGAGTGTGTGGACAGGTGTCTTTTATACAGGTAACGAGTTCAAACAGGTGCAGTTAATACAGGTAATGATAAAAATTACAGACCTCCACATGCTTTGTAAGTAGGAAAACCTGCAAAATCGGCAGTGTATCAAATACTTGTTCTCCCCACTGTATATATATTTTTATTTTTATTTTGAGTGGGTACAACAGAAATAGATATATGGAAAATAGTAAATGGAAATGTGATAAGAACTAAATATATGAAATTATATGAATTTGAAGATTGGACCTATAACCCATAAAAAAAGTATCTCAGTATTACTCTACCAAGCTCAACTCACAGGAAGGGAAGGTAGGCTGTGTGATGAGGTGATTTTGAAGGAGTCAGGTGCAGGAGGGTAAATCACAGCATAACAGGATTTATTCTGAACCACAGAGTTACGCAGTAATGCGTAAAAACACTCCAGTGCGCAAAACAGGCGCACTACAAAATACACGGAGCTCCACCGAGCTTCTCTCTCCTCCACAATAAACAATCACACACAAAGACAAGGGGGCAGAGGGAACACTTATACAGGTACTTATGAGGGGATATGAACCAGGTGTGTGTAATAAACAAGACAAAACAAATGGAATGATGAGATGAGGAGCGGCAGTGGCTAGAAGGCCGGTGACGACGAACACTGAAGCCTGCCCGAACAAGGAGAGGCGGCAGCCTCGGAGGAAGTCGTGTGTAAGTGTGTGCGTGTGTGCATGAAAGAGTGTGTGCATAATCAAAAGTTGCAGCCGTTTTTTGGCCCAGTTTTAGTAGGAGCTACAGCAGAGGGGGTTGATTACCATACAAACCCAGTGGCTGATGGGAAAACACTTCCTCTAGTGACCCAGATTCTCTAGGTTGGGAAAGTGTGTGTCTGTGTCTGTGTGTGTGTCTCTGATCTTGTGTATATGTGTGTGTGTTACATTTGTATCCTTTAGCATCCAGCTGAATGGATTCCTACAGCATTGCTGCAGTATGTTTGCTAGCTGATTGATCAGTGTGCTGTTGGAATGTTAATGTTCTTGGGCCTTCTGGAATATGAATACCTTCTCAATCTGACTGTCTGACATGCCAAGGATGATGGTGTTTGATTGGCTCGCTCGGTATGAGGCGTTTCAGGTTTATTATTAAACTGTCAATTAGTTCTCATCATCCTAGAGACCGTGTCAATCATGCTGAGACACACACATCCTGACAGAGAGTGAGTCAGTTGTTGTATATTGGCCGAAATACCTTGTTAGTGGCAAGGCTGTGTAAGAGAGGATGGGAGAGCAAACAAGGATTTGAAATCACAGATCTGAGCCAGCATCAACAGTTAGTTATCAGCACCATTCACTTATAATAAAGGCTAAGTATAGCCACTGTTTCCTGGCACAGTGGATTTTTAGCCATTTAAATAGAGCAGGGGAAAAACACTGTTGTGTGACTAATGTAGCATCTTCTATCCTTATTTACCCCCCTATCTATGTATGGGTAAATAGAGAGAGACTCCCAGGTGGCCTGTCACAGCAGCACATTTTTTGGCGTTAAGCTTCAAGACAAGATGAGATCTGGGGTGTGTGTGTGTGTGTGTGCGCAAGCTTGCGTGTGCATGTGAGAGTGAATGTGTGTGTCCCTGGTGACAGTGCTGGGTCTGATGTTATTGTCTCACCTGGGTACACCTGTCATATACTGGCTCAGGTGGAGCTCTGGCAGAATGAATGTGTTACCATCCATCATCACACACATCATTTTCTCTTTCTTTCTCTTTCTCTCTCTCTCTCTCTCTCTCTCAATTTCAATTCAATTTAAGGGCTTTATTGGCATGGGAAACGTATGTTAACATTGCCAAAGCAAGTGAAGTAGATAGTAAACAAAAGTGAAATAAACAATAAATATTAACAGTAAACATTACACTCAGAAGTTCCAAAAGAATAAAGACATTTCAAATGTCATATTATGTATATATACAGTGTTGTAACAATGTGCAAATGGTTAAAGTACAAATGGGAAAATAAATAAACATAAATATGGGTTGTATTTACAATGGTGTTTCTTCTTCACTGGTTGCCCTTTTCTTGTGGCAACAGGTCACAAATCTTGCAGCTGTGATGGCACACTGTGGTTTATCAAAATTGGGTTTGTTTTCGAATTCTTTGTTGATCGCTGTAATCTGAGGGAAATATGTGTCTCTAATATGGTCATACATTTGGCAGGAGGTTAGGAAGTGCAGCTCAGTTTCCACCTCATTTTGTGGGCAGTGTGCACATAGCCTGTCTTCTCTTGAGAGCCAGGTCTGCCTACGGCGGCCTTTCTCAATAGCAAGGCTATGTTCACTGAGTCTGTACATAGTCAAAGCTTTCCTTAAGTTTGGGTCAGTCACAGTGGTCAGGTATTCTGCCACTGTGTACTCTCTGTTTAGGGCCAAATAGCATTCTAGTTTGCTCTGTTTTTTTTGTTTGTTCTTTCCAATGTGTCAAGTAATTCTCTTTTTGTTTTCTCATGATTTGGTTGGGTCTAATTGTGTTGTTGTTGTTGTTGTCCTGGGGCTCTGTGGGGTCTGTTTGTTTGTCTCTCTCTCTCTCTCTCTCTCTCTCTCTTTTACACAGACACACTCCCACTTTACCTGTCATGCCTATTTGCTTATCTTGTAGTTCTATCAAATCAAATCAAATTGTATTGGTCGCATACACATATTTAGCAGATGTTATTGTGGGTGTAGTGAAATGCTTGTGTTCCTAGCTCCAACAGTGCAGTAATGTCTTCTAGTGATCAATGAGAGATTGTATCACTCAAACACACACACACACACAAACACACACAGAGCATGCAGTAAGATGGTGTGTCAGCTTGTGTTCCTATAGCAACAGGGAGGACAATAGAACACAGCTGCTCCTGTGTGGTGTGGTGTTGCTCTGTGGTCAAGGAGAAGAAAATATTGGTTTAGTCAACATTGTGCTGACGTCATTTCACCCAACTATCAAACAGAATCATGTTGCATCAATGTGGCTTTAAAATATAATACATTCATTTTTATTAAATTGACAGCGTGAGATTGACATTTCCCTGCCTTCCTGCCAGGGTTGGGCTCAATTCACAATTGAATTGAGAATGCCTCATAAATTCCAGTTAAATTCTTGAATTTGAATTGAATTTGAATTGAAGTAGTAAACAGGATACAGAATTGCAATTCTAATTTGAATTAAAGGAAATATAATAGAATTCTGTGAAATGCAAATGCCTCTTCTATTCTATATTAGGTGTAGTCTATACAAATATACATCTTGTACAGAAAACATCAAACATGTCGTAATATACATGCATATAAAAAATTGTTGAAACAAACTCTTAAAATGAATGATCAAGGAAAAGAAAACCTGTATGCAAATATTTGAAGTTATTATATTTCACGAATCACTTAACTTTTGTTCACTATGGCGAAAATACTGCATTTCTCAGAATGCATTAGTTTAACCTTGACGTTGACCCTGAGGCCTTCAAAAAGATGCCAACCAAATGAAATGGTTGGTGGAAATATAATTGGCTATTCTAAGCACTAAGGTTAAAAGAGAATGTGAACATTGTTTCCAGAGAAAAGTGGAATTTCTTTGAATTGCACTGAATTAAATTCTACTTCCTGTCACTCAAACTCAAATAAAAATGTGGCCAATTCAATTTGAATTTCATCTCATGAGTTGAATGGGAGTCAATTCCATTATTCTGATTTGAGCCCAACCCTGCTTCCTGCTAACACTGGTGTGTGTGTGTGTGTGTGTGTGTCTAGTTTGCAGTGATGGGGACCTGCATAGCCTAGCATCCAGACTGAAGGACTGGTTTGGAGTTCTCCACCTCGACGCCAACCGAGACCTCAAATCCTCCGCCAACTCTGATTCAGCGGCAGGACGTGAGTCACACCATTATCTCTGTGTATATGTGGGTGTGTAATTTTAAAATTTTAATTGCACTGCCATTTGAAAGTCCGTTGTTCTTTTCAGTTCTAATGAGGACTGTAGATGATGAGGACAGTGCTCCTCTGTGCTCTACTAAATGTCAACGTGTCTCACACTTCAACAGTACAAACTCTCTCCAAGCACTTTACTCAGGTTTTGGACTGAAAAGCCCGAAGACAAGAGTCACTGACTGAAGCCAAGACACGAGGCCCTGACTGAAGCCAAGACACGAGGCCCTGACTGAAGCCAAGACACGAGGCCCTGACTGAAGCCAAGACACGAGGCCCTGACTGAAGCCAAGACAAGAGGCCCTGACTGAAGCCAAGACAAGAGGCCCTGACTGAAGCCAAGACAAGAGGCCCTGACTGAAGCCAAGACAAGAGGCCCTGACTGAAGCCAAGACAAGAGGCCCTGACTGAAGCCAAGACAAGAGGCCCTGACTGAAGCTAAGACAAGAGGCACTGACTGAAGCCAAGACAAGAGGCTCTGAAAGTACCCCCTCAAATACAACCACAGAGTTTCTAAACCCAGAGGCCCAACATCGCGATACTTCCGGAAACGCTTCGTGAAGCATACTCGACAGACCAGACAGGGGTTTGGGAAGTCAATGGCAGAAGTAAAAAATATTATTTAGTTGTTCATTTTCTCAAAATCTAAAGGCACAACGTAGATGTCTTAAGTAGCTGAACAAGTTATTACTCCAACCTCGTGAAAGTGACAAACTGAAAGAGACAAACTGAAAGTGACAAACTGACACGTTTTCATTTTCGTCAAAATCAACTTTATATTTCAGGAGTGCCTTTGATTTGACGGCCTGCACATGCGCAGTTCGGTGCGAGACGATCGTTCAATCCGATGATGTGTTTAGCTAGCCAACATCACCATGACATCACCTAAAAGCATGATCGGGGAAGCAGTTTCTAGGAATCTTCATACTGTACTGTCTTTGCTAAAACAGACACACACACACACACACACACACACTAACACACAAACACACACACACAAATGTCCTAAAACACCCTCCCCCCACCCCCCCACATACACACACCTCCCACTAATCTCCCCCTCTCCCCTCTCCCAGGTTTTGACACCAGTATCTTGCCCATCTGTAAGGACTCTCTGGGTTGGATGTTCAACAAGCTGGACATGAACTATGACCTCCTGCTGGACCAATCAGAGCTCAGTGCCATCTACCTCGACAAGTATGAGCTGTGTATGAAGCCCCTGTTCAACTCCTGCGACTCCTTCAAGGACGGGAAACTGTCCAACAACGAGTGGTGCTACTGCTTCCAGAAACCTGACGGTGAGAGAGATGGAGGGGTGAAGGGAGGGCGGTAAAAAGGAAGGGATTGAGAGGGCATGGAGGGCATGGAGGGAGGAGGGATGGGAGAAGTACAGAGAGCAAAAAAAGAAAGAGAGAGGTGTGTGTGATGGAGAAAGTTCATTTGAACTGTTCTGTATTTAACACTAGTCTGTATGTCTTTCTCCAGGTCTGCCCTGCCAGAATGAGATGAACAGGAGTCAGACCCAGGGTCGGCGCAACACTGTCATGGGTCAGTCTGCTGGAGTGACAGCTGTCAGTCACTCCTCTGCAAAATGACAGTTTTTAGTGGGATGCACTAACACTGCATATGGAAATGAAGCTACATATTTAGCCGCAATACATCATCCAGCTGACAACAACACAAAAGATCAATAGCACGCACACACACACACCCTGAAATTTTATCGAAAAGTCCCCCACCCCTAACCCCTTCAAACCCTCAGCCAAACGGTCATCAATAATCGTGTGTAATAGTGTTATAACTCACGACAAAACACACTTTGAGAAATGGTCTTTCACTGGGTCACAACATTTTTAAAAAAGAGGTTAACGGGTTTGTGTGTGTGTGTGTGTGTGTGTGTGTGTGTGAGTGCTGTTATTGAAAGTGCCTGGACCCCTTTAAGCAGGATGTATGACTGTTGTCAGAGCCTAGGCTCTAGTAATTGATTGTTTGCCTCAGCCTCTGCATACACAAAACCTACAGGGACATGACCATGATCACATTGGAGATGGAGTGGGTTTTTAGTAAATATGGTTATATTACAGGATTGTTTAGAATGTATTTTACTTATCTCTCTCTCATTCTCTCTCTTCATCCCTCCCTCCCTCTCTCTCTAGGGGTCTATATTCCACGCTGTTCTGAGGAGGGTTACTTTAAGCCAACCCAGTGTCGTGGTAGTACTGGACAGTGTTGGTGTGTAGACAAATACGGCAACGAGATCGCCGGCTCCAGAAAACAGGGCAACCCCACCTGTGGTAAGACCAATAACAGTCAACCCCCCCCCCCCACACACACACATAACCAACACACAATCATGTACACATGCATATATACTGTATGTACCAGAGCTTGAAATGCTAAATCATTTGAAATACTTTATCTGTGTGGGATTGAGCTTGCCTAGCTCAATGGACCAATAGAATAGCACCAAAACTGCAGATCACGCCGATCTGTCACTCCAGGCAAGCTACAGCAAGTATTTCAAAGATTTCACATAGTATCTGAACCCGACATAAAATTACTAACCCTTTTCAACACATGAGCACAGGCAAGCACACACATTCCCCTCCAGCATTCTCTTTACACTGCGTCCCATATGTCTCTACGAGTGTGCTCATTGATAAAGGTGTTACTGTGTGTGTGTGTGTGTGTGTGTGTGTTATCTGAGCCTGTGTTATCTGGGGTGCTGGAGGCAGCCATCTCGCTGAGTCTTTCTTTAAAGATACCACTGAACGTGGGATGCCTCTCAATGTCTGTTCTGGTAGACACTTTTTTACAGAGCAAAGGTGCCTGTGTGTGTGTGCGCACGTGCGTGTCGCCCCGCGAAAAAAACTAAACTCTCCAGACCTTTAAGAGGAACAGAGGTTGTTATTGTCGCATTTTTCTTTTGTAGTTGTGGAATGTGATTTTTGGTAATTGTATCTCTAAAGCATAGTTCCATTTTTACAAGGATACTGATCTTCAGTAACAATTGCCAGACTGAATGTTAGCGTTGTAAATCCTGTGCTGCTAATGGAAGTTGTGTATCCAACCAGACAGATCTGAGAACAGCCTGTGAAGCCTTATCTATCTATAGCTGAATGCCTCTGGCTGCCTCCTCTGATTCCCTGCTCATGTATTTGGGCTTTAACAGAGTTCCTTTGAAGCGTTTGATGCTATAAGATTGTGAGCTGGGATAAAGCAGAGCTCAGGCTCAGATGGACCACTGGAGGAAGATGAGGTTATTTACAGTAATGCATTGTGTTGTCGGAATAGCACATCTCAACCAAAAGCAGGTTGTCTGTGTATGGGTTAGTTTGTTTCTGTATCTAACCTGTATGTCTCTCTATCTCTGTCTCTAACCTGTCTGTCTCGCTGTCTCTAACCCAGCGTTTCCCAAACTAGGGGTCACGACCCCATGTGGGGTCGCCTGATTTGAAAATGGGGTTGCGAGAGAAACTCTGGGGATTTTTATTTATTTAATTGCACTTGGTTCATAAAACCGGGGTTATGTCAGTAACCTCCGGTAGCCAGTTTCTGTTTCTTTTTTTCTACAAATGTGGTTCTATCTTTTGAATGGTTTAAGCTGCATATTATGACCCCATCACTGAAAGATAAGACTCTCAGGAACACGTACGTGTCTTCTGTTTCCCTCTACAACGCCCACAAGCCTCATTAGAATAGAGTGGACAAGACCAGGCACTAAATCAGCCTGGGGGGGAAAGAACATCATCAAGATCAAACAAAATGATTGCCTGATGATCTTCTGAACATCCCAATACCTTTCTGATTTATTTCAGTCACTTCAAACCATACTTCCTTCAGACTGAAATACTGTCAAAAGTACTGTCAGACTGATTTGTAATAAACTGTCATATCCCCAATTTAAAAAGTTAACATTGGCCGTTGATTACATCACCTTTTTTACATGGTGGGGTTGCAAAAACAAAGATAACAAAATCGGGTCGCTGGCCAAAGAAGTTTGGGAACCTCTGCTCTAACCTGTCTGACTCTCTGTCTAACCTGTCTGACTCTCTGTCTAACCTGTCTGACTCTCTGTCTAACCTGTCTGTCTCTCTGTCTCTTTATTTAACCCATCTGTCTCTGTTAAATGTGTGTCTAATCTGTCTGTCTCTGTCTAACCTGACTGGCTCTCTCTCTCTGTGTAGAGGAGGACCAAGAGACCTCGGGGGATTTTGGTAGCGGGGGCGCCGTCATTCTCCTTGATGACCAGGAGGAGGAGCCAGCTCAGAGTGGGAGGAGCCGGCAGAAGCAGAGGCGGGGCCGGATCCATCCCAGAGGGGCCATTGAGGATGACGAGGACGAGGAAGATGACAAAGACGACGAGACTGGCTACATCTGGTAGCTCCGCCCCCACCTGTTCTCCCATCAACCAACCAGGGACCCCCGTTAACTCTGAACAGACCTGAAGCCATTCCAGCGTCTCCTTCGTCCCACCCCCTACCCCTCAGCATCAACTGACTATCCCCTCCACTATGCCTCTTGTTCACCTTGAAACGTTCTCTCCACTACTCCACCTTCATATAGTGTGCCCCTCCTACTCTCCTTCAGATAATAGAGACCTATTCAATTCAAACAAAGACTGTCTAGTCTCTTTTAATGTGTGTCCCTCTGCTACTGCAACTGTCCTCAAACCCTTCAACCTTTGACTGACACATTGCTATATCCCCTCTCTCTCTCTTTCTTGCTCTTACTCCCTCTCCCTCTCTCATCTCCCCTTTCTCTCTCTTTATCTGTCTCTGTGTGTCTCTGAGAGTCTCTTTGTCTGTCTGTGAGGCCAGAGACAGATTCTATGGTGTGTTCTGGGCCTTCTGTCAGAGACTCCGTGTTCCGCTCCCGGCCTCAGCCCTCATGTTCTAGAATACCATATTCTCTGGTTCCATTATATTCTATAGGCTCTTTGGTCGAGAATAACGTTCTTGCTGTTATTGAATGTTCCAGGGTGCCCTAGAACCAGCAAGAGTGATGATGTGTTACTTTTTGTTGCATGTTCCATGACTACGCCCCTGCTGAAGAGAAGTTTGGGTGGGAAGATACATTGAGTGTACAAAACATTAGGGACACTTTCCTAATATTGAGTTGCACCCCGCCCTTTTGCCCTTAAAACAGCCTCAATTCGTCGGGGCATGGACTCTACAAGGTGTTGAAAGCTTTCCATAGGGATGCTGGCCCATGTTGACTCCAATACTTCCCACAGTTGTGTCAAGTTGGCTGGATGTCCTTTGGGTGGTGGACCATTCTTGATACACACGGGAAACTGTTGAGCGTGAAAAACCCAGTTGCGTTGCAGTTCTTGACATAAACCGGTGCGCCTGGCACCTACTACCATACCCCGTTCAAAGGTTTGTTTTTCCCATTCACCCTCTTAACGGCCCACATACACAATCCATGTCAATTGTCTCAAGGCTTAAAAATCCTTCTTGAACCGGTCTCCTCCCCTTCATCTACACTGATTGAAGTAGATTTAACAAGTGACAGCAATAAGGGATCATAGCTTTCATCTGGATTCACCTGGTCAGTCTATGTCAGGGAAAGAGCAGGTATTCCTAATGTTTTGTCCACTCAGTGTATAACTATGTGTCCTGTGTACAGAGGAGTCAATATCTTTATCTTTAACTCTGCATTGTTGGAAAAGGACCTGTAAGTAAGCATTTCACTGTTAGTCTACACCTCTTGTTTACGAAGCATGTGACAAATAAAATTTGATTTGATGTTGATTTGACAATGCCCATATTGGCGGCTGCAGTGCTCTCTTCCCTTGCTGTCTCAATGCTGTGTAGTCTTTATTTGATGCTTCCTCCTCCAATTTAGCTTTTACAAGTTCAAAACCATGTTGTTAGCCACTTACTAAATAGCAACCACTCTCCTCAGCTTGAAAGCTTTGATAATGACTTAATTTTTTTAGCTAGTTTTGTACTTCTGTTTCAGATGGAGGCACTTAGTCTGTGGAACAGTTAAATCTAATTGTAGTCACACAAAGAGCCCTGCCATTATTCTGACCTTTCAAGATTTAGAAACGGACACAAACACAAAATGCTTTTATGGGTTCGCTTTGGGAGAGAGAAAAAAACACAACTAGAAGCAGCGTGAGTCTGTTAAAAAGAACATCTTAGCATAATAGTTTTGTTTGTCATCGAGTTTAATTTCTGTAGCCATTGGTGTGTACTGTTGACAGAGGAAGTGGAACATTCTATAACTTCTATTCTAAATAAGTTCCAGTTTTTTTCCAGAATATTTCGGGTTGTAGTCAAGTGAGGTCAGTTATCCTAATGTATCTAGCCCATAAACCCAGATGAGATAGGCTTAACCCATAAGGCAGGCTTATGAACAGTTATAAGCCTTACACTGGAACAGTATAAGCACACCCACACAATGCTCAGTGGCATTCCACTTTGATAAGGACAGGCCTTGGATGATCGGACTTATATATTTGCGGGTCTGAGCCGGGCACTATTTTATCAGTTGTCAGTACTGTATTTGCAAGGCTTGTGTTTCATTGGTCTTGTGATGCAGCGTAATGGTACATTGCTCTTGCTTTGGTGTGCTTTGGCCAGTGGAAACACATCTTGAACAGATCTTTGATTAAAGTGTGAGTCTTGTGATTGACACTTTGGCTCTTTCCTTACGAAAAAAGATTGCAGTATAACTGCAGTATACTGCCAATACTGCGTCCAAAATAACACCGTTTTTTTTTACCAGAGTAATTTTGCAGTTTAACTGCAGTTACAGTGCAGTATAACTGCAGTTACAGTGCAGTACATTGCAGTTATTCTGCAATTACTGTGTCCAAAATACCACAGTCGACTGCAGTTACTGCACTTTTACTGCAGTTTGAAAACTGCAATATGTTTTTGTAAGGAATCCAGCACACAATACACCACTGAGCTCTTCTACTCTTCAGCCAGTCAGTTGGCACCACTGATGTTTCAATTTGATCTGTGAAATAAAAGTGTAGTTCCAGGCAGACACACAGCTAATTAGAAAACAGCCTATCACGACCTAACCCTGCTTACTCACTTTCAAATCTCCCACTCTCTCTCTTTTTCTGCTCCCTCACTCACAGCCCTCTCTCTCTCGCTCATCTTCACTATCATTTTGTCACTCGCTTATTTTCCCTCTTTTTCTCCCTCTCTCTACCCTCCTCTCTCTTTCTCTCTCTCTCTCCTCTGTTTTTCATACTGGGGGAATGCATGAGGGAGTTTTACAGCCATGGCACTCCTCTCGCTCCTCTCTTTCCTTTAATTTCCCTTATTTTGGTTTTTATAGCTCAGAGATGTCTCCCCTGCGAGGCTGCCGTATCGCTGCCTTGTCTCTCCACCCAAGGTCTCTGTGGAGACGAGTAATGCACACCACGATTGGGTGGAATGGGTGGTTGTGGGTAATAGGTAATGGGTGGTCATTTGACGCCCGTAGAGTCAACCTTTCATCTCACTCCAAGATGAAAGACAGGAAGAGGAACTCATGAGATGAAAGTGATGCTTTTGGGTTTTGGGCTTTCTTTCTCTTTCCCTCAAATCTCTCTTTTTCTCTAATGCCCATCCTCCCTTTTTGTTCTCTGTTCTTATTGTTTCTTCCTTCCCCCTCTCTCTCCTTCCACCTCTCTCTCCTTCCCCTCCTCTCTCCTTCCCCCTCTCTCTCATTCCCCTCATCTTTCTCCTTCCCCCCTCTCTCTCCTTCCCCCCCCTCTCCTCCTTCCACGTCTCTCTCCTTCTTCTCCTCCTCTTATCCTTCCCCCTCTCCCCTCCTGTCCCCTCTCTGCTCCTCCTTCCCCCTCGCTCTTCTCCTTTCCACGTCTCTAATCCTCCTTCCCCCCTCTCTTCTCCTTCCCCCTCTCTCTTCCCTCTCCCCCTCCTTCCCTCTCCCTCCTTCCCCCTCTCCCGTCCTTCCCCTCTCTCTTCCCCTCATATCCTTCCCCCTCTTCCGCCCCCCTCCATATCTCGCTCCTTTCCCCCTCTCCTCTCCTTCCCTCCTTCCCTCATTCCCCCCTCATCCTCTCCTCCTTCCCACCCTCTCCTCCTCCTTTCCCCCCCTCTTCCCTTGCCACCTCTCCTCCCTGCCTTTCGCCCCCTCTCTGCTCTCCTTCCCCCTCTCTCTCCTTCCCCCTCTCTCTCCTCCCCTCATTCCTCTCGTCCTCCTCTCTCTCCTTCCCCTCTCTCTCCTTACCCTCCCTCTCTCTCCCCCTCCCTCCTTCCCTCCTCTCTCCCCTTCCCCTCTCTCTCTTCCTCTCCCCTTCCCCCTCTCCCCTCCCCCTCACTCCTCCCCCCTCCCCTCTCGCCTCCTTCCTCCTCCTCTCTCTCTTCCTCCCCTCCCCTCCTCCCTCCCCCCTCTCCTCCTCCCCCCTCGTCTCTCCGCTCTCTCCTTCCCTCTCTCTCTTCCTTCTCCCTCCCCTCATCTCTCTCCTCCTCCCTCTATCTCTCTCCCCCCCCTCCTCTCTCTTCCTTCCCCCCTCTCCTCCTCATCCCTCTCTAACTATTTCCATGTCCCTCACCCATACTCGTATGTATCTGTGTATTTAGTAACAACTGTTGGGTGATTTCAGTTCTTCTCCTTGGTCCCTGTATCGATCACAACATTAACTCATCTGGTCACAACTGATCACTGCATCACCTCTGACCTCTCACCTCTGACCTCTGACCCTGATATTGATTTGTTGTTTGTTGATCACGTCAATAACATGCATGATGACCCTTTAGTTTTGTTTACCCTTTGCATCTTCAACTCTGACCTCTCTGTGTGTACATCAGCCAGAGAGACAATAAATCTTCTACTAACACAATACACACACACACCCGCATGCACATGTATAAAGTCCTCTCTTGCTGAAGTAGTGTAAGGCTCCTTTTTTGATTCTGCGATCAACCTGGCCTTGACTTTTTCCCTCTCATGATGTCCTAAGTGACCCTTGCCCTGTCCTGATGTCACTGCTGTCCCTCCCTTGCCTGGCCTACTTGTGTACAAAGCTGAGTAACCCTCCCTCTGTTTGGCCCTAGTCGCTCAAACGTCTACAAAAGCGCAATAAATGAGAAGGAAATGGTCCTTCTCATTTCCAACCTGTACTAGACAGTTACTGAACTGTCCTCAGATACACACACACACACACAGTTCTAATATGACACCTCCACTAGTCCAAACACACATAAATGGCCATATTTGCTAAAGTCTTCTTTGTTAATTCTATATATTTTTACTTTGTAAAGAGAAAAAAATACTATGTGAAAGGGGTGTAATATATTGCCGTGTGAAGGCACTGTGGCTTTGTCCAGTTGCATTTAACAGACTAAGGTGTGTAAATCAATTGTCCTTAATGTAGCTAGATTAATGTAGCTCTTTCCATAGAAG